TAAATCATTAATGAAATCATTTGAGACATCTGTTAAATACAATAATTTTTATAATTTATTAAATGTGATGGATAAAAGACATTTGCATAAATTTGCTCAGCCACAATTTATAAATGAGGTAAGATATAAAACTATCCATATATTCTGTGATCCTCAGAAGAGCTAGTTTCCGCTAAAATTTGAGTGAACAAAGGTATAGTGCCATGATAAATTATAACAACATATACCATCGTGCAATGAACGCACAGTTTCAATTATTATTTAAAAAACTTCTTAAAATATACAATTCGAATTAAAGCAAATAATAGTTTGTGTTCATGTTAAGCTTAAAGAATTAGCAAAAAATATCATCGGAAATCTACAGAAAACGAAAAAACAAGCAATGGAAAATGTAAAAAATTTGGGAAGAAAAGCAAAAAGTGTGATTGCTAAGGTAATACTACGTAAACAAACAAAAGAAGTAATACAACAGAAAGATCAGCAAGATCAGCAAGATCAGCAAGATGATCACGACGAAGTTAAAACTGAAGAGAAAAATTTGGATGAATATGATGGAAATATGACGATGCCTGTTGTTGTTGCTAATGCATTGAAAATGGATAAAATGATGTCTGAATTAACAACAAAGGTGATTGATTACCGATTTTATTATACATTGGTCTATGATTTACTTGAACGTATCACATTGGTGAATCAAATTATTGATAGAATTCCAAATGACGAAAAACCGAATAATGAACATACCACCTATTGTACGATCTTAGTTCAGGATACCATTACTCGAATTTTAAAATATTCACAAGAAGATAAACAAGAAAATGATGATAAATATGTCAAATTTAAAAAGACATTTAAATTTGTGCGTGATCAAGCAATACATCTGTTGGCAAGAGATTATTGCAAAAATGAACAATGTAAAGATACTTCATAACAGTGAATGTACTACGTCCCCATTGTCCTCATTTTTCGACATATTTGTCGAATGATTCACTTTGTTTTACCGAAGTGAGAAGAAACATCATCTTTATTGTACGAAACATATACAGAACGAAAAAGAGAGAGTTCAATGCATCTCATTTCTGTTGTATAGAGAATAAAAACAACAACAACGATACTATAATAGACAAAAAATCTATTTATTTTTGCTGTTTTTTATTTTCTAACCGTTGATGTATTCGACTCAATTGTCTTTTAGCTTCACCCTCTGGTAACGAACTGAATTCGTAATATTGTGGTGAAATTGTTAATAACCAATCAGGTTTAATATCAGTAACGGTACGAATATAGTTTTAGTTGTCAGTTGCTTCTCGTAGCTTCGAGGAGAGTGGTGAGGGTGGGGTAGTCAGCGGGATCAGGGCCGCGAGGGTTGCCTATGGGTGGGTTCGATGGACCTGCACATGATAATGGTTTCAGAATACACGCCGACTGCATTCTTACGGTGTAACGTAAATAATTTTTTTTGCTAAATACGGCACAAAATTCTGCATGCTTTGTAACGCAAAAAATTCGCTCCTGCAGAATTACGCAAAATTTTGTTTTCACAAAAAATTGTATTAATTTCGCTCGTGTAACCATATTTTGCGTTACTTCACTTAGGGTTTGCATGCGTTTTTCTGCGTAAAAAATTTGAAAAAAGTTTTTGGAAATTTCTACATGGGCATGGTTCGAGCGGAAACATGGTTTTTCTAAGACCATCAAAATCGGATCTGTCAGTGCCAGTAATATCAAAAACACGTGGTACGTAGATAATTGATGCTTGTGAATCTTGTGGTAATGTTTGTACCTATTGCTGAATGTGAAATAACTGTGGATGATGAGTTTTATGAAAAAACCGGGTTGTTGGCGAATTACTGTGTAAAATTAAAAAATTTGAACCAATGGTTTTTGGCGAGGGGTTCTGGGCATCTTTTCATTCTTGTAGCATCTTGAGAACAATTTTCGTAATTATAAACCATGTCTAGTGTATTACATTAAGTTTTTTGTGAAAGTTTCAAATAATTTGGATGAAAAACAATGGCAGTATAAATTGTTAATTTTACACGGTAATTAGCCAAAACACCCGGCCATTTTTTATTCCTAAGTTATTCGAAAATAAACTTGAAAGTCAAGATTGATCGAATGTCGCACATGAATACAAAGTTCATCGAGTCCCATTAATCGATAATGGGTTGAATAATATGTATTTCTCGAATAGAATTAATGATAACAAGTCATACTCGGTGTTGCATTAACATAAGCTAGTCTTCCTTTGTAATAACTATACTTGCAAAAATAAAAATTCAGTTCACTGCAGTGCAGTACTCGAGTTTAACCGCCTAAGTAAAACGTTGTGCTATTTCGAATGGTGGTAATTCAAACTGATTTTCTACTGATCCTCAAAAAGTCCTATATTCGACAGGGATCTTGTGAACTTTTTGTTTATGAGCAGACGCCTACACGTCTTTTTCTAGCATTTCTTCAATGAAAACTTCATATAACTGAAACTGATTACTATCCTCTGATTAAAAGTACTGAAAGTCAAATCACAACTTTTATTCTCAACATTGTTCATCTACTCTCCGATACAAAACGTATTTGAACCACTTATTTATACTATGTAAGGCCATAAAGATGCCTGTTATCAGTATTTTCAGATTTCAGCTATTAATTAGCTGCACCCGTCACGGTTGAATAAGTTAATGTAATATTTTCTCCAATCGCTTATTTGTTAAATAAAACTAAAATTGTCAATTGATCTATTTTGCGGATATTTTGAAGCCTAATATTCACGAAATGTGGTATAATGTTGTTTGATTCCATTTGTTAGTTTCTTAGCATCATTTCGTGTAATAGTTTCCATTCACTCACAAACGTATTAACACAAATAGAGAGCCATCGTGCTCAATAATATTTAACAAATAGTTTCAAAAACAAAAAGAGTTATTTAAGCGTCATTTGCATTATCATCTTGCGTGTATTACTTCAATTCCTCACCTCATTTAGTTTGATATGTGTAGAACTGAATATCGGATCTCTATTAAGAATATTCTGTTTAATATTTGGTATAATACAAATTTTCCCATTCTGGTATGTATTATCACAAACATTTATCTGAAATAAGCCATCCATTGGCAGAAAAATGGCATAGAAGCAAAAACAACCACAAGCAGCTGTAAACACAAGAAACCAGCAATATTTTATTATGAACAATGGTTAGTCATTTAAATCAAACTTGTTCACTTTATGCACTTCTATGTTATTGTTACTTATTCTATCAGACTTTACAGATCTGACAATAAAACAATTGAATTTATTAAATATTTTTAAAAAGCAAGATCATCCAACTACAACGACATTTTTGTTATATATAAGGATAAGCAAGACCATAACACTACACTATGTTCTTAATTCTAACTATATGTACTACTATTTTTTCTTGAGTCATCAAAATGAATGTTGAAACACTAAAAAGTGCATAGAAAGAAGAAGCATCTCATTGACTTGTCATATGTATGAACCGTAGTATCGAGAATGATTGAACATCGATTAATGACAGTATATAGTATAGTATATAATCATGTACACATAATCTGTGTGTCATTTCATCTATAACGAGCAAATTAAACTCCTAACGAGCGTACGAATGACATAAATCAGAAGTAGGTATTCAATAGATTATATAAGTTTGTCAATAGAATATAAAGTATCAGATCATCGATGAATAGAAGAGTGAGAACAACACCCAGTACACTTGAAAACCGCTCTTCCTTGTATATATGGAGAGATTAAGTGGATACCAGAACCAAGTAATTAACACTTTCCAAGAATGGATAGCAATAAGAGAGGATAATGCGTATCAAAAGTCACATTGAAATTGCCAAGATTCAGTAGTTAATATACTACCATCATTTGCCTTCTATAAAATATACGATTAGACCCACTATGATCTGTCTCTGCGGGATTTTCTCAGTCAGTAACGAGCACTTTTTTTAAACAAAAGAAAGCGTAAAAATATTCTTCTCTTTCATGCGGCATTTGAAGGTGTTATACTATTACTTTTATCAGTCAATGATTTTTAATGGATACTCAGCAAGGGGTATATCAACAAACGGATTATGGGACTTTCTCTGATTTTTTGAAATAACGGATTTTGAATTCTAAGTCTTATTCCAGACTATTTTTTTCTGTTAAATCTAAAATTAACGGCGAGAACAGAGCGGTATAAAAATCAATATGTAATTAGAGCACATTGGACTGCTTAGATAGCAGACCGATTAAATAAAAACAGATTAGAAGCATCGATTACACATCCTGATCGGTGGTCAATCATTACAATAGAAGAGAGAGAGAAAAAACATGTATCTATCTATCTTTCTATCCGAAATGATTGTTACATTCAACATAAACAATTTAGAAAAGAAGAAAAGAGGAAGAATATATGTCGAACATCCACTTTTTTTTTTTGTTCAACTTGAGTGTGTCAAGTTGACGTACGACTGATATTTCTTTTCATTGTTGATAAAATGGACCGTGATATTACTAAAAACTAATACTACATAATGAATAATGAAGTTATATCGACAAATTTATGTTCCAAATTTGAAAACAACATACATTAGAGTAAAAAAGGTAAGTGTAATTTAATAAATTTGAGAGAACAGAGTCTCAACTATATGATCAATGTTGAAATGATTTTTTCAAAGTTCTGTTGTCACTAGATAAAGTTGATTGATCTACTTATATTTGTGTCATAGCGTTTAGCCCAAGAAAGTCAGAATTCACCTATTAATTAATAATCGAAATGATCGTTAGGATAACAATGATCTACTTTTCAATCTGAAATTGCTTCTTTGTTTTTTTTGTTCAAAGTTAATCAACAACAGGGATTTTATCAAAAGTCGTGTTGTTGTCGATGATTGTTCTCTGACTTTATTATCGGATAGTTTTTTTTTTTGTTTTATTTCATGAAATCAATGATCATAAATAGTTAGATATCAGTATCTCTGTCGTTCTTATGATCATCGAGATAGATTCGCTACATTAACAACCTCTTTCGCCTATCTAAAATGTCTGATAAGTTCAGAAATGCCGAATCAACACCTATTTTATATAAATAGCGAAAAATTAGTTCCATTAAAACGAGAGAAATGAAAAGAATTTGTTATCTATGTACTAGTAGATATGTTTTTAATAAAATAATTTCAAATGATTGAGGGTATGTAAAATATGTTCAATAAACAATAACAACAGAACTATTCATTTATCTATAGTTTTATATTCCATATTTTTCTGGCAATGAAAGAATGTTACATAAGAGTTTGAATACCCAGCAGCAAATCGATCGCTAAAACGGTAAAATTGTCACTTGGTGTGATGACATAGTCTATAGATATCCTACTGTGCTTGAACATTTTTTCTTTATTCGATGCAATCATTTGAATAGAACGTAGAACGTTGTAAAACAATTCTCTTTCTCTTCTTTACAAGTGCTTCTCTTCCTCTCTCTCTCTCTCTCTCTCTCTCTCTATTCTTCTCTCTCTTTTCTATATGTCGAACTTATTTTACACCTTAAACGTGAAAAATGTTGATATCATATAATTAACAAAAAATTGTGCACACGCGTAGAGAAAAATCTCTGATAGTACTTGTCTTCTATAGGAGGTACGTGTGTTTATTGCTTTCTACTATTATTACACGTTTATTAATCTAACCAAAAAAGATGAAGGTAAGAATCCTTTTGTTTTTTGATATTCATGGGTGGTATCATTCAAGAAGTGATCATCTTCATCAAAAAGTTGATACTTCGCTATGACATCACGTGTACAACAGATTGAAAATGATGTAGAAGAGGGAAAATGCAATGTTGTTAAAAAGGCAAGATTAACTGAAAGTTAGTGTTTTAATTTTTTTGTTTATAATGATCAAATTGAGAGTTGTTCTCTTCTAACAACT